CATAAAACACTTTTCATAGATTCCTACAGGTTATTAGTATTGCTACAAATATACAAAATATACATATACAATAATATTCCATCAAACATTTTCTGTAATGCATTCATTACTTTATAGTACGAGGTATACTAATACAATATATACATATTAGTGTTTTAGTGTTCAAGCACCGAACTGTTCGAGCAATTAATGTATATTCGAATTTTAAGATTAGGATTCAACATTTCAAATGCTCGTGTTCAAGAAATTTGATGTCTTGAAGATGTTATAATTACTCAAAGATATTGGAGGTCTTGACGATATTCGAGCTACTCGATATTGAAGATATTTGAAGCTACTTGAAGATATTTGTGCTACTCGAAGATATTCGAGCTACTCAAAAACATTCGAGCTACTTCAAGATATTCTAACTACTCAAAGATATTCGAGTTTATGACGATATTCGAGCTACTCGATATTGAAGACACTCGAAGATATTCGAGTTACTTGAAGCTATTCGAGATACTCGAAGATATTTAAATTATTCGAAGATATTCAAGCTACTCGAAGATATTCTTCAAGCTACTTAGAGACATTCGAGATCTTGAAGGTATTTAAGCTATTCGAAGATATTCGAGCTGTTCAAAGCTATTCGAGATACTCGAAGTTATTTGAATTATTCGAAGATATTTGAACTACGCAATGCTATTCAAATTAGTCAAAGATATTTAAGCGACTCAAAGACATTCGAGGCCTTGAATATATTCGATCTGCTCGAAGATATTGGAAACACTACACGATTTTCTAGGTTTTAATGATATTTGAACTACTCGAAATTGTTCGAACTACTTGTAGAGTTTGAGTTACTCTATGATATTTGCTTTATTTGATTTGTGTTTTATTTTATTTTGCTTTACTGTTATACAAATACGTATAACAACAAGCTTGAACACCATATGGTGTCTTTAAATATAATCAAGTGGCTCGCAGTGGATCACCCAATGCATTTTTGTTCTCAAAATCTAGCCAATTTACAGTGTTCACTTGTTCTGGGTCACTTGAACGTGCTATCTTACACTATAGAATGAGTACTCCAATTGAGTTTACACAACTTATCTATTAATTCTTTCGAATTTGCAGATTATTTTTTTATGTGCATTGCTTCACTGAACCTGTCTAGCAAGCATATCTTAACCTAAGTTATAAACAAGTGCTTAATTTGGCAATTACTTACACTTACTTATCATATTAGTTATTAGAACAACAACAACACTCTATTATATTATGCTTTATATTATGTTTCCTTAGATTAAATACTTATTATAATTCAATAATTAAGAGAATAATACACTTGTTATATATTTTTATGGACAATTGACAGCGACCCATTGACACGCTGTAGTCGGTGACATCTGACCATTTACGAAATGTTCACTGTCATTATATAAATATTCGGAAGCACAGATATTTACGCCATTTTGACTAAACACCAAACCGTTTTCTACTAATTGCGCTGACCAACTGCCATTAGCCGGTACGTTATTCCCACGAACCGCTGCAATAATATTGTCCTGATAATAAATCAAAAACATGCCTTTATTGATATGGTTCAGAGCAACATTAACCGCGAGACCATCATTGTTATCAGTCACACTGATAATAACAGTTTCCAGCTCCTCATTGTTCATGTCGAGATCGAAAGTGGTTAATACAAAGTAACGCGTATCGCTCATCTTATCGGTACTGCTTATGAACAAATATTCACCATTAGCCACGTTTTTCAAACAAAAATTCGTGGAGAAGAAGAATTTCTGTAAAGTCTCAGGCAGATTATTGATGGCGTTCGTCATATTGTTGCTCATGTTGTTGTTAGTATAGCCCCAAGACTTAATCTGTTGGAAGTAATAAGACACTGCAAAGAGGTAATTATTGTTATTGGCATTGAACTGCCGCTGACGCCAGTACAAGGCCAACTGCAGCGATGCCATGCGTTCTAAAGCGAATGCATCGTTCTTGTTGCCAGTGCGTTGAATGTATGAGGCAAATACTGCTATTTGGTCGAAATTTGTAAGCTTTTGTATCGCAATGTCGTACACATCTTGTTGTGTCGCTGCGGTATAACGAATAACTAAATAATTAAAAATCCAAATCACTTGTTCTCTCTTTATAGTGATATAGGCGTCACTATTGAGAATATCTGCTAAAGATGTGGCATCTCTCTCGATTCTCTGCTGGAGTTCAGTGTTGTCAAAGCCATTTTCCTGTATAAACGGATTAATATTCTGGGGATCTGCTGTCCCAGATGTGGTTACAATCGCAGCTAAAATAAAAATGGATGTTATTGCTTGACGCATCTCAAATGCTTGACGTAAACTAGACTGGTTGCGAGAATATAAATGCCCTTTTATACTATCTTTTTGAGTAAAAAAGTTATGTTGCGTAAAAAATTTAATTTCAATTATTGAAGATAAGAATTTAGAATATTATTTATAGTTATTTTTTAGTAAATATTTATATTAATTGACGACCACTTAAGATTTGTGGATGTTTTATTTACTGCAGCTCTCTTATAAAAATTAATTACCTTTTATATACTATGACAATAAACAATAATTAATTAAATGAATACAAGTAAATAGAGTACTTAGATGTTTATCAGTATGAGTCATGTTATTTAAATTAGAACAATCCAACCAAAGCCAAAGATAAGGTTGAGTGAAGCACTGCTTTCAACATTGTGATTAGTAAAGATATTTACTAATATTTATATTTGGAAAAGTAATTTCTTATCAAACTGAATTTTTTTCAACAGCAAACTCGTATTGATAGATTGACTATACAGGGCTGCGTCTAGACCCTAGCAATGGTTGCGTAGTTGTAGGTTATACAAATTTTTTTAATACTACGGATTTTTTCTAGACATTTCTCAAACAAAAAATTATTTCCATAAATTTATATAATTATATAAAATTATATATTTATAATTATATATAATTATTAATATAATTATATAATTATATAAAATTTATATATGATTGCAACAAAAAAGGTGTTCAGATTGAAGAATTACCATCAACAGCATATGTAGTGGATCACATACTTTCAGAAGAATATTAATTTCTTATAATTCACTTGTGCAATGTAATTCTACAATAAAATTGCAATTTAATCAAATTTAATTTTGAATCATATATATATCATTAGCAATTTGGCTTTAGGAATGATCTGTCCATGGAGCTTCCTTGGTTAGAACGACCCAGATGATCCGGACAGCGCTCAGTAGAAGAGAGTAGACTGGAATGATCAGTTTTGATATCTCTAAAGCTTTGACAGAGTTTGGCATGATGACCTGATAGTAAAAATGTCTCATCTATGTATTCCTGGCGAGCTAACGAAGATCATCAAAAATCAACAGCGCTCCCTTATCAGTTCGAACTATAGAAGCAAGGGTTCCTCAGCGATCGCCACTCTCCACAACATTTATACGACCGATATCCCAATGCTAGGTCCCTCTACATAGCGTTATATGCTGACAGTGTTCTTCATTTTCATGAACACATTTGAAGTGCTTGAGGTTCTACAATATACGAAGTTGGGCGGTCTCAAAAATAAAACTTTAAAGACTGCGTAGTCCGGTTTCATCGAGAATCGCAAGAGACTAATAAGAGTATGTGTGGTTTATAACCAGCTAGATTAGTCCAACATTAAACGATTTAATGTTTTTAATTCCAGAAAGGCATTTAATTTAAACTAAACTTAAGGTATTTAAATTGAAAATGCAATTATGAATTATATTATTAAATTGTTTAAATAAATAACAGTTATAAGTTCAAAATTTATTTATTTTTAAAAAATTTTAAATGAAATTAAAATAAAAATATTAAAATGAGCTTAAAATATTTCAATGTAGCCTAATAAAATCCTTTGTTAATCCTTTTTGATTAATTGTTGTGAATTATAGTTTTGCCAAATCATTGATTGCCTTTTCTACACTAATTTTCATGTTTTTATTTGTATAACCCCAGGATTTTATCTGCTGGAAATGCTTTCTAACCACGGTTATATACTTATCATTAGTGGGATTGTATTTCTTTTGACGCCAATAGAGGGACAATTGCACTGCTGCCATACGCTCTAGTAAAAAACTGTCGTCTTTGTTTCCAGTGCGGTGTATAATTTGGGCAAGAGTATGGATTTGATCAAATTTCGTAATTTTCGGAACGGCTATGTCTAGTACATCCTGTAATGTGGCAGTATTATAACGACTTTTCAATGTATTGTAGACATCAGTTATATGCTCCTGTTTGATAGCCACATATGCACCGCTATTGAAAGCATCTGCTAAAGTGCCAGCATCTTTAGTGATCTGCTTCTCTCGTTGGTTAAAAGATTTTCTGCCTTCAATGGAAGGAACCACCTCTGCTGGAGCTACTGCCGCAATAGTATTTATCACAAATGCGGATAAAAGTAAGGTAAGTACTAACACTGCCATTTCTGGTGCTTTTAGAAACTATGAATTAATTTCAAATTTTAATGGTTTATATACTGGAGGAAATGAAATTAAACTGCCTACTTCTTATCAGTTGCATTCGAATTAAGTACTGATAGTGGTTTGACATATTTTATTAATTAAAAAATATTTTTAAATGTAAATAAAACTTTAAGTAAATAAAAATCTTTTAAAATCATGTATTTCCTATATTAATAATTGTGGTTCACCTTATGACTAAATAGCATATGCCTGTGTGGTCAAACAGTTTTCGATGGAGTCCAAACTTGTCTATTATTTAATTCTACGTTGAATGAATCCAATCCATTTAATCGTACTACTGAGTAATTTAAATCTGTAAAGGATGAATTTTCAGTTTAACCTCATAATTTATTACTAGTAAACAAAATGATGCAGTAAGCATTGGTATTTATTAGAGCATATTTATATATTTAACATAAAATCTTTTGATTATATTTATATAGATCGTTTTTTTTAAAAATAACATACTAGACTGTGATATATATAAAAATGTTTATATCGTAAAAATCTAAAATAAATTATCATTTTTAATTTCAAAAACGAACAGAATAAATTTCAGACTTATGTCGTACATTTACTTTGGAACACAATATTTCGAAAAATGAAGTTAAATAAATTTGGTATCCGTACGAAACGCCAAAAGGTTAGTTTGGTAAAAATATTTTCATTTCAATGAACTAAAATCTATGGTTAAGCAATTTGTGAAAGAATTTGTCAATTAAAAGCTAAACAATAATCCAGTCAAGTCGTAGAGAGCGGTTATGAAGAAACCTCGCTGTTAATAGAGAATAAAAGTGCTTAAGTGCACTGACTCAACTAGCTTGAACATAATAATAAAAAAGTTACATACATATTTAATATTATACTATATATTAAATATGTAATGTATATACATAACAATTTTATATATTTATTATATTATATTAACAACATATAAAACAAATTTATGTTTTTCATTTAAAGAGAAAGCCATCTAAGGGAGTAACTACCAAAGGTAATAAAGTACGACAACAAAAAGCACGTGAACTATCTGAAGAATTACCTTCCACATCCAGGGGTGCTGTATCGAAACAACTTAGGTACATAATTTAAATTTTTTCAAATTCTTATCCTAAAGTTTCTCACTTTCTCTTAAAGGTCTCGTGAGTTTAACTTACTTATACGTTGCGCTAATCAACAATTCAAGGAGATTTTTAAACGTGAGTATAGAAAATAAATTAATTTGTCGTTTTTACAATCCAAAAATATGCATTCCCTAGAATACACTAACAACAAGAAACATTTTGAAGAAGAGGCCGCAATCATATTTAATGATGAAGTTTCATTAAATTCAATGCCTTTGCATTTAGAAAACAATATCGAAGAGTTGAATAAGATTCGTGCGATGTCGGCATTCCTTTATATAGTTTGAGTGTAATGGAAGAAAATGAAACAGAAGATGAGTTATCTGAGGATCTTTACGCAAGTGATGAGAATACTGTAACGGACATCGAATCGGAACAGTCGGTTGTATCAGAAGAGTCAGTCGAATTAGAACAGGAACAGATAGTTAAACCAAAAACTGCCTATTGAATCAGTACACACAGTTAATCCAAAACGGGCGGAAGATATAGAACATGTACCGAAGTGGAAGTATCTAAAAAGAGATACTTTGTCATTCGTAAACATAGGAAAAAAGTTGGTGCAATTTAAAAATTTTTCAAAATTTAAAAATTGAAATGCAAGTACGACCATTCTGAGGGTGTGGATGCCATATATTTTATAACCAATATCTTTTCTTGTAGTTTTTATTGTTTCTTTTTTTATCATGTGTATTATATTTCAAAATTGATAATATATATTTCTTGATACGCCTATCAATATATGTACATATATACAGAAAAGTGGTTAAAACATGTTGGTGTAAATAGTCTTTAGAAGTATGATTGTGAAGTCAAATGTGACTGATATTAAAGTAAACATTATAATAACAATTATTTTAAGGATATGTAGTCAGAAATATAGTTGAACCACATTATTATTTTCAACAATGGTTCTGCAGATACGTGTCAGCGTTGTGTTTATGAGATATGAACTAATTTCTTATAATTGGTTTAATTGTATTTTAATCAATTTATTCTCGGTTAAGGCCTCAGTATTTTATTTCTCTATATCGAATTCAGTTCCCTTAAGAAAAACCGTTTAAATTTAGTCATTTAAATGCTCATTCCTTAACGTTTATATACCACACAATGTGTAAATAACTTATATTAATTATTTTGATTTAAGCTTCTATTAAGTTTTTTCTTTGATTTAGATAATAAAATTTTATTTTAAGTAAAATTAATGATACTAAACGCCCATCTTTGAGAAGTGCTCGTTTGTCTGTGGCAAACTTTTTTAAAACTTCTGCAGAATTTGGAACGTTTCCTGCATTTCAGAGGGTAAAAATTGCACTGTGAAGAAAAAGATTTCAAAACTTATTGCCAAACTTAAATGAGATTTTATCTTTTTACTATTTTATCTATTTCTGTAACGCATGCTGGCAATAATTTTTTTGACAAAGTATCTGATAGATAATATATTTTTTATTTAAGTTTCATTCTCGGCACAGTATTTTAGCCGTAAGTAATAGTTAGTTAGTGTTAAGATGATGATTACAAAAAATCACTTGTAAACCAGATGAAACTATAGATGTAATCGCGATCCAATTAATAACAATGGCAATTCTTAATTGCAATAAGATTGATAAGTATTCTGTACGTACTAAGTTCAGAGTTAAAAGGTGCTATCATTCGGAGACAACTATTGCCCATTGTAATACCCTTAATGTAGGTAGTAATACCCTTAGATGCCTTAATTCGGTGTTGTAATGCGTTGCGATTTATTCTATCATAAATGTATATGCTAAGAACCACTTCACACATAGGGCTAGAATTTAATCAAAGTACATGTTTAAGTGGTAAGCTTCTTTAGCAGGATTTAAAGAACTAACTTCATAGGCATGATGTGCATGGAAAAAAGGAATTTGCCTTCAGCAGAAAAACTATTGTATTTAGTTGAGGACTATAGATATTGTAGCTAAATTGCACTCATTTCTAGCTAAAAATTAACTGCACTTAAGTTTGTGAGTTCTTGAATACGAATTGACTTCTGTATTTTAAAACTATTTGAATACCTTTCCAAATATCATTTAAAGTGTTTTTTAGCATAAGTATCTTTTAGTTTGAGTGGTTAGTATTTTAAGACACTAGCTTTATTATATACAATATAATATTTAGCATGTTAAGATGGTCACTAAAAATGTATTACATATAAAGCTACAGTTTATATAATCTTTTGCACTTCATCCATTTATTCTGATGGAAAGATAGTATCTATTATTATAAGGTGTATTGATACGGTGAACCCTTTTGTTAATAATCATTTTTCATAAAGCAAATAAATCTACAGACTATATGTAACTATTTTGCTATTATGATACCGGTAACAAATATTAGTATTTGTGGCCTTAGTTTAATCCTTTAACTCCTATGCTCCTCAAAGGGCCGTAACAAATAACTTCCACTCGGTACGATTGGTGGCCAATAGCTTCAACTCTCCCCAGCCTTTCCGCATGTGTGACATTTCCGTGTCGGTTTGTCTTTTCCAGGCGTGAGTAGGCCTTAGTTTTGCTGATCCATCAACTTAATTTATCTATTTATCTAAAACCTAAACACATTAAAAGATATAATTCAAGTCATAGTGGTTTTTATTGTTCGTTTTCGTAACAATTTTCTGATTGAAGATTACAGTTCTTTAAAAACATTTTATACAAAATTTTGTAATGGGAAGTTTAAGAATTAGCACTTGTTTCAGAATCATCCGAAACATTATCAGAAGTATCAATAATCGAAGAAGTCGTTGATGTTTCTTCAGGGATTTCACCTAAAATGAAGTCCAAAAAACTTGGATTTTCTGGAAACAATAAGTTTCTTATGTGAGAGCGATAGGCTTGCCCTACCCCTGTGCCTTCGTGATCGAAACTGTTAGTTTTCTTTACTTCCTTTTCCTTTTTGTCGTTGTTACAAATGTAGTCAAGCAGTTTTGGATTACTTACGAGTTTTTCGTCTTCTTCTGCTGCCTTTTTAAACCAATCGTAATCATTGTCGTCAAGAAACTCATCATCATCATCAGCGACTGATTCACCATCGCTGCCATATTTATCATGGTCGTGACATATTTGAAGCTCTTGCAACTGCTGTAAATATAATTTTATTCAGAATATTCTAAGAAATATCGCTATCATTGTATGTTTCATAATGAATTGCGCTCTCATTTGAAATCACACATAAATAATTTATACTATATTCATATAATTGCACACTTACGCTGTCGGTTGTATCACTAGAGCTGTCCAA